AATTTGAAGTACATAACATACGAATTCTTATTCTGTATTTCAAATGTCGAAAAGCATTTCTCGTCGTTTTCAGACAGATTAAAAGTGCATGGATTAACTGTAACGGTCATCACTCTATCTTTGTCATAATCTTGACTTTCCTGATATTTGCAACTACAAAACTCTTCGTATTTTTTCATAGTCAAAACAAACCAGTTTTATGAAGATATTGCGCCAATCAGTATCATAAGGATTGTGTCAAAATCTGTTTTATGGAGTTAAGGCCAGTCAGTTTTATGAAGATATTGCTCCATTTAGTTTTGTGAAGATATTGTTCCATTTAGTTTTATGAAGGCAGTGCGCCAATCAGTTTTATGAAGATAATGCGTCCATCAGTTTTATGAAAATATTACGACCGTCAGTTTTATGAAGATAGTGCGCCAATCAGTTTTATGAAGATAGTTCGAGAATCAATTTCATGAAGATAGTTCAAGAATCAATTTCATGAAGATAGTTCGAGAATCAATTTCATAAAGATATTGTGTCAATCAGTTTTAGTTACCATTTTGTAGTAAAAAATTGTTTTTAAAAATCAAATCTCAATGGAGCTTACGCGTTACTAAATCAATATTATATGAAGTAACAAAAGCAATGTGTTTATTTTTTCTAGCAGTATATTTATTATACATTGTTTAATTACCTAATGATATGCAACAATATTTTAGTATTTCTATAAATAAATTCTCTAATTCAAAAATAATTTAATATACATTGTTGTAATGTAGTCTTTCATTTATACTATTTCAATGAAGCGTTTTAAACTACAATCGAATTTCCATATCGAGGGACAGCAATCTTAGAAATTACATTTCTTTTATTCTTTTAACTTTTTTTTAAAAGTTACCACATACAGCACGTAAGAATATTTTTTTACCTGGGTTATTTTCCATTAATTATTTATTATTAAGTGCAATTTTACTATATTCAAATACATTGTCGCCTCACCTGTAATCTTGAATCCCTACTATTGCTCAAATAGGCTGCACGCACAAAACGCTCCATATGTAAAAAAGGAAAAAGATCACTTATCTTTCATTTAATTAAGTGAAATTAATGAACTTGTATAGATTTTTATTTTTTGTTTATTTATCAAGAAGCATTTTAATTAAGCAATATTACGTATCTTAGAAATATTCAAATTACCTGGGCAGCCAGTCTAAGTTATTTCAGGTTCTGATAGTGCCCTATATAATATGTAGGTTTTTTTTTCATCAATTTAAATAAATATGTTTCATGGTGTGCAAGTGAACACGTATTTTCATTTCTATAGAAAGAGATTAAAATTTAAACATTCTTAAGTTCTAGAAAAAAAAGCTAATTTCGCATTTTTTTTTCATATTGTATTACCATCCTGAATTTTTAACTCAGATCACAAAATTAGAAACTACCTCATCCATGAGAAAAAACCTTTCAAATTTAACTTTCAGATCTCGTTTTAAACGTTATTGGGTTTTAATTACTATACATTAATACTTCATGTAAAAGTCTTTGGCATTGTTGTGTTTAAAGATTCCTAAAGTTATCTATAGTGTGTGTTAACATTTTTCCTCGTATGATTCTTGATTGGTTTATTTAAAAATATTATAACTCTACTCTATTGTTTCAAACGTTTAATTTTAGCTTGCTGATATGAAATTATAAGATTAACTTACAATGCTTTTCTCATTGTTATCTTACTCCAAAAAATTGTTTTCCAGCTAGAACTTTATCAAGATATTCGATTCTATCATTCTAAGCCATTTAAAAACCACCAAATGTACGCTATTCAATATTTTGCTCAGTAAAAATTATTACAATATCATCTAATATGATCTTTTAAAGTACATGGTGATGTTAAATTACGGAGAAGAATCATTTTATCTTTCTATTTCAATTAATTTTAATAGCACCCTAACTACAAACTTTCATCGGTATCACCGTTCCCAGTAAAGACCACTTATTAAAATCCCTGTTACTGTCAGTGTCATATACTTATTTTTTTGTAAATTTGTAGCATAATTTATAAGTATCACTTTCTAATAGAGATATAAGCTACGGCGCTTCTCTTACTTGTCCACCGGAAATCCAACAATGATCAATCTGTTACAGATGCAGTTAGTAGGAATACTATTTGGAAGGGAATACGAGTCACCCAATAAAAATAGTGTAAACTGAAATCGTTTGAATGATAATCGAACGTTGATCTAGTTCATCCTCTGACTAGGACATCTTTATTGTTCCCTTTAAAATAAAAATAAAAATGTTTTGAAAAGCATTCTTTTTCATGCAGTAATTTTAAAAAGTAGCTTTTTAACCTTAATTGCATGTAGTTCAAAAAATGAAAAATCAATTCTTTACTTTTTTTAAAGTTGTAAAAATACAGCTGCAAGCTTAAACGCAAACGATATATTTTTAATGGTTTTATTTTAATTTCATAATGCGGAAATATAGAAATATCTTTTTCTTGCTATCCACTCTAGACTCGTGTTTAAATTAAAACTTTGCCAAACATTTCTCTTTCATCATTCCAAACCATTTAAAACCACCAAATACGAACTATTACAACATTTTGCTCATTAAAAATTTTTATCGTCTGATATGATCTTTTAAAGTACACGGCAATCTTAATTACGGAAAAGAATCCTCGTATCTTTCCCGTTTCCATTAATTTTAATAGCACTCTAATTACAAACTTCCGCCGATATCACCACTCCCAGTAAAAATCACTCTTTAGAATCACCGTGACTGTCAATTAATGTCAAATTTAGCTTTGAAGATCGGAATATTTTTAAGAAATTAAGCCCCTTCTTCTTTGATAACATCTGAAAGAAAGAACAAAATTAAAATGGAAAGAATTATTGAATTCCGTTTTATAATTTAAAGGGAAATTCCTCGCAGTTTAATGACTTAATAGCATTAATTCAATCAAAATATCTTTAGAGTTGTCTTTTAAATTTTTTTCTATCAAGAAATTTAATTAACTTATAACTTTAAGAGAAATTCTTCTTACTCAATTGGTTAAAATAGCTATATCAGTTTCTTGATTTAATAAGGATTTTCGAAATAACTGAAGTATTTTTTAATCGTGAGCCACAGACTGACTGGCAATCACATCCCTTAATGTTAGCTTTTGACTCTGTCAAAAATTATGTAAAAAAAATACATGGATTCATAAATTGTATATTAGTATAAGAGGAAAAAAGAGATAAGTTATAAATTTCTTACGAATCGTAATCGAGGTTAATCACTTAATCATTATAAAAAGTGAAAAACTATTAAAAAATTTTAAAAAGGGCTCGTAATACAAGTTGACTTCGAAAGTGGGTTATAAAATATTGTAATACGAACTTAAACATTATATTATGGAATACATTTAAACGATCATTTTTTCTGAAACGAATCCACTGACAAAGTTTCGAAGTCATCCTAATGTTGCAGAATCTGCCTTATAATTTTTGAAGCTATCTGCGAATGCAAAAAAGATTCATTGTAAAAAGGTATATATTTTCAGGACATTTTTGTCATAGTAGTTGTAACAACAGCTTGAGTCAGAACGTTGGTTGTCCAAACAAAATCTTGCGGCTTTCCGAGGGAAAAAAACCTTTATGCCTATAATATTCTCCAAACTTTGTATCTATTTTGGTCTTAATTGGTGACCAAAATAATTTGGATCATTCCGTTGTTAGTAAAACTAATTGAGAAAATACTGGTCACTAAATTTTTTACTCTGATGAAAGATTAAAAGTGTGTGATGGCTATTTCATTTTCAACGACCGCCCTAACTTTTGAGCCTTTTTGAACATTTTTGAGTCTAAATCTAAACGAGTCCACTATATTTCAAGTTTAAAAAAAATTTCATTTATTAACAATTAAATTTCGGAAAAACATTTTTCATAAGCAAGATAGTTAGTTAGACAGATTTTTAAAAATTGAAAAGGTTGAATAGTATTATTGATATAATTAAAGAGCGTAGTTAAAAAATAATTCCAACTACCTGAAAATATTACCTAAACTTTAAATTCTGAACCTTACAACGTAAAGTTCCAAGTGTCATTTTAGTAGTATAAGTAAATTAGCCTTCAAATGCTCTTCTTCGTCATTTCACTGAATTCCATGTTTTTTAAATATAATTATGAAGATGTAACACAATCATTTTTGAAGGTATATCAATTTGTCCAAATCTCTTTTTCGAAGGTTTTAAATTATTTTTGAAAATAGATCCCCGTAATTTTTTTATGGGAGAAGGCATTAAAAGTAATTCTGATAATTACAATTGGCAAAATAAAAACCAAATATTTTCGGCTTAATGAATTGATTTACAATAACAATGTTACATATAACATAGTACGAGGCACACATTTAATATCCCTCGTAATTATTGCTTACGTTTACCAACAATATGTTTACCATTTGTATTCTATTTCTATTTATTAAACATACTTTTTAACGTATTCAAATTTAATTTCATATGAAAAAATTTTAATATGTCTGTGTCCTAATTTAAAAAAAAGAGAGATTGAAATCATTCTTTACCTTTATTTCCTGTACAAGAACTTTTAAATGGTCAAATCTATATTCTTTAATGGTCATTTAAACTGTTCGCATCTTATCCTTTATGGCGTTTTAAAATTTTCCGAAAGGCTTTCGAAACATCAAGAACCTTTTTTTTTACCAAATATACTTGGAACTTTTAGAAACAAAGCGCCCAAAGGCTACCATTCGTTGCTTTCATCCACGGAGATCTGACTCTAAAAATAAAAGCTAAGAGCAAAATAAAAATATTTAATTTTTAAAAAACATCACTTTACTCCTTCATCCTGGCTCTTCGATGAAGTTATAGATTTGTATGTAACGTTCAATAGTTTTTTTAATTGCATTTTATATAATATATATTTTTATTGGAAATTCCTTATACAAAAAACTCAAAATAATTTTTTTGTTTTATACGCCGATCGTTCATTACATGCTTTCATCTTTGCAAGGTCAGGAGTACAATTTCAACAAACTGACAGAGGAGGAAGTTACGTCATTAGGTCTAGCCTATGACTACGCTAGCATTATGCACTATGCAAGGAACACATTCTCCAAGAGCACTTACCTTGATACCATCTTACCTCAAGAGGATCCAACTCAGAGGAAACGACCGGAAATTGGACAAAGAGTTCGGCTAAGTGAAGGGGACATAGCACAGACCAATCTTCTATATAAATGCCCAAGTAAGTGCGTAAGTACACTCTTTTGCCCATACATCGGGTCTGGTGATGGTATTATTGTTTCTATATACATTAGTTAAGTACACTCTTTTCCCCATACTTCGGATCTGGTGATGTTATTATTGTTTCTATATACATTAATTAAGTGCACTCTCTTACCCATACATCGGATCTGGCGATGGCATTATTGTTTCTATATACATTAGTTAAGTACACTCTTTTCCCCATGCATCTAGTCCGGTGATGGTATTATTGTTTCGATATACATTAGTTAAGTACACTCTTTTGCCCATGCATCGGGTCTGGTGATGGTATTATTGTTTCTATATACATTAGTTAACTACACTCTTTTCCCCATACATCGGATCTGGTGATGGTATTATTGTTTCTATATACATTAATTAAGTACACTCTCTTACCCATACATCGGATCTGGTGATGGCATTATTCTTTCTATATACATTAGTTAAGTACACTCTTTTCCCCATGCATCTAGTCTGGTGATGGTATTATTGTTTCGATATACATTAGTTAAGTACACTCTTTTCCTCATACATCTAGTCTGGTGATGGTATTATTGTTTCTATATACATTAGTACAATAGCAACTAATCTTCGGTTTCAATATTTAGTTTAATCTTAAGCACTTTCCAAGTTATCTTGATCGTATAAAGTCGATCTACCTGAACCTAGACCCAAGACTGACCAATCATTTAAAAAAAAACAAAGAAAAATCGAAGGAAATTATGCTTTGGAAACCAAAAGTTTATTTTGATCAAATTTTAAAAATAATTAAAAATTTCGTCAACAGATCACGCTGCTGTTTGGAAGAGACTGTAAAACAGAATTTTATGATGCATATCAGGCTATCCCAACTGAAATGTTTGCTAGGCGTCGGTCACTTTCATTTTCTGGCTGTACATTGCATGGAATGGTGGTTATTTTTAAAACATTATTTTAGAGTTTTAGTTAGGGCCATCTGTTAGAATACTTTGTAACCATTTTTGAAAATTGATGATACTTAAATCTGCTTTTCTAAGCTTAGGCATACGTTTCTATTTCCTTCAGGTTTTCTAATTAGATTTTCAAATCATTGGTCATTTTTAGGACATCCAGTGGACAAAACATATATTTTCGTCTTTATACTAAGATACAAGTATAAATCGAGTATTGTAACAATAATTTAGTCTATTAAAACTAAAGAGATTTATTGTGGTCAAAATATTTGGTATTTTCGCGCTGATGGTAAAAGCAAATTTGAGCAAATTGTTAAAAAATTAGTGAATTTTGAAGCGTAGGCAATTGTTTTTCATTGAAAATTTTAACTAATTTTTCCTTCTTGGCTTAAAATAATGGAGTTTTTTTTAATTAATCTGAATCTGCAAAGCTGATTACATTAATAAATCATTGGAATTGAAAATTTCCAAACATTTCTCAAAAGAACCAATAGATTTAACAATAATTTCATAGGCATTTATATCAGTTATAGTGCTAAAATTGTATGGAATGATAGATTTTAAACTATGAATATCAGAGAATTTTTCAAAAAAAATTTCTGAATAAGAAGAGGTATTTCTTTAGAATATCTAGAGGTTATTCAATAGGTATATTCCAAAAAGGATTTTCTCGACATGACTTAGATACTAAGTTCGCTTTAAGCTCTAAAAGCTTCTCTAACCATTCAGTTTTTTTTACACAATATTTCTGTTTAAAATGTATCAAAGCTTCTTTTGAAATTTGTACAGATAAAAATCGTAACCGCATTTAAGATTTTATCTTCAAGACGAATTATTGAGAATTTTTTTCCCCTAAATAATAAAAATATAATTTGATTAAAATTACTTTACTTACTATTGTAAAATTTAACCACGCTTGAGGCATATATTATTTTCAAATTAAAAATACAATGATCTTCAATGCTTGTAACGAATTAACTTTCTAATGGTTTTTTTTATAAAGATGTTTTTCTCTAAGCTATGTTTTTTTGAGTGATATTTCTGATTGATTTTTTTACATGGTTTTATGGGATTCAGTACTGTGTGAAAAATATGTGAAGTTTACCAATATTGAAAAGTTTCTTTTCTTCAGAAATTCTGAGCATAATTTATGCTTTCTGCTATTATTATGGCAGTGGTTCCCAATTGGTGTTCCGCGGTACCCCTGAGTTCCATAGAAAAAGTACTAGATTTCCGAGATTTTAGGCAAAATTGTCAGCCATGAAACCCCGTAAAAAATTTCATATCCAATTAATTTTCCGTTAGTTATATTATATTGATTTGATAACTATTCTCAAGATTTATTTTATCCTTTTTCATTTTTATTCAAACGAAAATCGCATTCCAGCTTATTTATTTTCAGTTTATACATACTACGAAATCAAATTATGAACTAGATTAGATGACTTTTTAGTTCTGAAAATATTCAACTGCCAGTAATGAAACCCAATTTTAAAATTAGTAATGTTAAAACTACACGATGAAAAAATTCATTATTTATTCATTCATTAAATCTTTTCAAAATACTTAAAAAATTTTAATTTATTAAATATTTTCAAAATAAATAATGGTCTTTAGTTGATTAATATTTTTCCCAATTTCAATTGAAATTTTTCGGAGTTTCGCTAAAAGAAGTTCGTTCGATTAGGATTTCGTACCCAAACGAAAATGGGAAATCACTGTATTATGGCTCAATAATCCACTTAGTAACACACCTTTGTTTCTTTAAATCAATTGATTTTCTTTCAAATTTGATTTTTTTTAATTCCACTAATCAGTTTTATATTTCATTATCAATAGCCAGTTCAAAAAATTTACTTACAGACGTATAAGATTTTTTTTTTAAAAAAAAAAGACTATAAGAAATTTTTGGTGATCCTACATTTAACGTTCTTTTAACACTTTTTATATCTGGTTTTATATATTGGTTTAAATATATAATTATGAGTGGAAAAACTGAATAAATTCCTTTATTTTACAAAACTGAACAAAAATCGCCAAGATAGGAGTGATATCATAAGTTCTCAAAGTATTACATTCTATTTAATTTGATTCGGTATTTTTCAGCAAAACACCTATTATTATTATTATTATTAAATCCCTGTGTATTTTATAAAAAATTTATTTGGTAATAACAAACATAAAGAAAATTGATTAATTAAGCTGAAAAATGGTTATATGCTTTTCCAGGCTGTGGCAAATCATTGCAGAACCCTAGCGGCATACTATCATCTCCAGAGTACCCTAATTCGAATCCCCCCTCGGACGGAGAACGCTGTGAATGGAGAATCACAGCTACACAAGGCGAGAGAATCATTTTAAATGTTACGGAAATAGATCTACGCTTATCAGATAACTGTGAAACTGATTATCTTGAAGTTAGAGATGGATATTGGTACAAATCACCATTACTGGGTAAGTCTGTTATCATACTAATCGTCTCTTAGCTCTTCAAGCATCTTAAAAGTTGAAATCAAATAGATTTATGAGAATAAATTATGACATTGCACCAGTATCATTTAACTCACCTCCAGTAAACCAACCAATAAAACGCGTGGCTCTTTCAATAGTTTAACATAATTGCCGTGCTTAAGTTTTATGATTAAGTAAATAATATCTTACGCATTAATAATACCCCATATATTAATGACAAAAACAAGCACCACAGTTGTGTTTATAAATACGACGAAAGTTTTATCTGCATATTTCACATGTTAAGTTATTGTTTTAACATTAGTTATTATTTTAGTTATTTATTTATACAACCAATGTCCATTTTCGTAAACACGCATTTCGAGCTATTTCAATTTTCGTAAACACGCATTTCGAGCTTTTTCAATTTTCGTAAACACGCATTTCGAGCTATATCCATTTTCGTAAACATGCATTTCGAACTTTGTCCCTTCGTAAGCACACATTTCGAGATTTTATAGATTTAAAATTTAAAATTTATTTTTTGTGATTATTAATTTATTGTTAATTATTATAAATAGAGATTAAAAAGAGTTTTGCATGTCAATGACTCTAAGTTTTTTTTCCCCTTCACGAAAAGAATTATTACTATTATGTATTTAAGAGTTTAATTTAAGTGAATCTGAATTTATAACAGTTAATAAGCTTTATGCTTGAAATGACATTGAATTTATTATTTACACATCGAATTTATTACATTGTTAAAATGAACTTATGCATGCTAAAACTTCCGTTCAAAGTATTTTTCCACACTGCATTTTTTTAATTTTTTTTCTCGTTATGCAATAAAATTAAATGGTATTAACTTTCTTCCTTCATGCCTAATGCGATTATCAGATTTTTATACTACGTCTGCAAATGATAATTGGATGATTTAAGCTATTATTACAATAAAAAAATTCATTTGCTTCAATTCTAAGCCTAGCTTTGAGCTTAACTAATGCTACATAATATTTGTTCTGCCAATAGCTATAGTTCTTTGAGTTAAGCTTAGATAGGATTGAATATTTTCGAGGTAGCATCTTCTTTTCAGAAATTATATTCTCGTATTGTTTTTTTTTTTTAATAAAAGGCTGTCTTAAACCATAAAGTAAATGTATTTCCAATTTCGCACCCTATCAATGCAGCATATAATGTAAAAGAGTGGAACGTGTTGTAAAAAAATGAAGTTTTTTGTGAATTTTTTTTAAATACTGCTCAATCTATTTAGCAATACAAAATGAAATAGCGAAAATTTATTTTGAACAATTAGTTTACAGAATGGCTTTTTTCATTTTATTGCCCACAAAATAAGCATATTATTATTCTAATGGTCTGCCAACAGTCTCATTGTACTCAATAAAACTATTATAAGCACAGTTTGGCGAAAAATTCAGGAGATTTACGTAAACGTTTCTAAGTAGTTGTTAATTATCTTCCTGAAACTTAAAATAGATAAATCGCATGTGAAATACAAAGATTTTTAAATGAATTTGCAAATTCTTTTTTGTTGATCCAAACCAAAAAACTAAATTACGTGTAAATTTAATATTTAATGATATATTCATTTAGTGTTTAGATATGCTAAAAACGACCATTACGTAGCATTGAAAAGAATTGTGGAAACATTAAAAATAATGCTTTTAATTCTGATAAACTGGCACATTCTTCGCACAAACTCTAGTCCATATCTTTCATCATTACAAATTACATAGCTTTAAGTGCCTAACGTTTGTCCAGATACGATGACTTACAATCACACAAACATTGCTTCTTTAATAATTTTTTCACTTTATTTGCCGACTCGTATAAAAAAAAGCAGTTTATAAAAAAAAATTTAAAAAAATTCAAATTTCGCTGAAAATCATCATAAATAATATTATATTGTTTCCATTTTTCATTAAAATCCAAAAATAAAGAGTAATCTGTATTTGATCTAATAAATTTCGAACAAGGTGCCAAATACATCTGCTCTTTTTGGATTAACCTATACAGTAAATTATACTTAACGTTTTATAAACTTTAAAGACTATTATACTAAAGTTTTGAAAACTAGTTTAAAAAATCTATTATATTAAATATATGAACTGTTATACTATATTCTAAAAGCAGGGATCATAATGCTACAAGGAGTGATCAAATGAAAAGGTACGAAACGACGTAAAAACGTAACAGTTAAATATTTGCATATTCCGCCATGGGAGAACGTAGCGAGACATCTCGGGATGCGATTGGAGTCTCTGACTGGGATCGGAGCGTGTACGGGTGCCCGCATGCGCAGGAGAGAGCTGAAGCTCTTATCAAACGCGGCGTCCAAATGATGCGGCAGTCCGTATGAGGACTGGATGGCGCTCGCGTTGCAAAATTCGACGGTGGAGGAGCAGCGAGGTGTTATCCGATTTCCTCGAGCACAGAAAAACCATTAACTCCAATGTGTACTGTGAGACACTCTGACGCCTACGCAGGTCCATCAAGAGCTAAAGACCGGGGCTGCTGTCGGAGGATGTGGCTCTGCTCAGTGATAACGCGCGTCCACAAGTCTCCAGAGTCACACACATGGAACTGGCCAAGTTCAAGTGGGAGACGTTGGACCATCCGCCCTACAATCCGGACTAGTCGCCCTGCGATTTCCATGTGTTTGGTCCACTGAAGAAACACCTGAAATGGAAGCTCTTCAACTCGGACGACGTACTCAAGGACTGGATCTCGTCACGGCCTCTGGAATTCTGGGAACAAGAAATCCTGCGGCTTGTTCATCAGTGGGATCGTTATGCTCAGGCCTATGGTGTATATTTTGAATAAAGTCTACATTTGTACACACCGTGTCGTTTCGTACCATTTCATTTGATCATCCCTTGTATATTCTATACAGAATTCAAAAAAAAATTTAACTCTTTCAGTTGAAATGAAGCGTTAAATACAATTATTGTCGACTGTAAAATATCATCTTGTTTAGAACTCTAATTGTATGTGAATTGTATAGTATTTGAGAATAATCGGATGCAATTATCGTATGATTTTAGTCTATTTGTATAGAAATTTATTTGATTAAATTTAAATACATCCTTGTGTTCAATTATCAGTCACTAAAATTTATATAATTTACTCTTCCTGTTCGTAAGAATATTGTTAATTTACCAATCACATAAACTCTAATTATTCGAAACTTCAAATCTCTGGCTTTACGAACTTTTCAATAAACCCGCCAGTGAATGGTTAGTCACTTCCCATACACATGCCAATCCTTTTACGACACCAGCACGAAATCAAGCAATTCAAAGTGGCTTCTCTGTCCCAATTTAAACTGAAGTGAAACAAGTTAATTTTGAAATGTCCAAAAGATCACGTTTGCCCGGAGATCCTAGACAATCCCTAATATTCCCTTTCTCGTCTTTTCCCTAAAACCGCCAGTTTATGCAAGACTATCGATTTCGGACATGATGATAGCTGAGTAGACTTGAATTTCGCATTTGATTACTGCGTCAACAATCGGACCCCTCGTTTAATTCTGCAGAGTAAACTTGAAACTTTGACCCCTCTCCACCCCTGAATGAGGGTAAGCCAACAGCTGGGGACACTGAAGTAAATGTTTAGTGGGAAAAGCTTTACAGGAAGATTGGGGAATGCTTTCTGGTTTCATTAATGACACCTGGTTGCAAGGATGATGTTGCTGATGAAAGGATAGAATTACGTATGTTAATTAGGGTAGATTACGGAGATAGGATTTGTTCTTAATTTGGTGTTATTCGCGCATTCAACTGCGTGATAGTTGACCATAAATAAATGTGCTAAGTAGGTAAAAAATAGACTGTTTAGACTGGGATCTTGATAACGTTGTATTTCTGAATTTACAGTGCTTAAAAATATAATTGGATGAGGTGAGTTTGTTTATTAAATATAAATAATTTTTGTGTTTGTAAAGTTAAAGTCGGTGCACACACTAAAAATATGGAAGAATTAAGATTTTTATCATTATTATTTTTTTTTTTTTTTTTAAGTTGACTTTTCATCAAGATAAAATCTAGCCAAATTGGCGTCTTTTTAAAAAGAAAATTATAATTTTTCAGTGTGATTTTTATTTTTCTTGGAAAAAAAGTTTCCTGAAAAATAATCTTAAGTATGTAGCAAAGTTAAATATTGCACAATTATTGCAATATTGCTCAGCTCATCTCATGTTGTTTTTAACTTTCGTTTTCGAGTGCGTTTTTTTCAGCGGTAAAAAAACATTTGAGCTTAGTTTGATATTTCTAACGTCTAAACGTTTGGCTCATAAGCAAACTTATACCAAAATTATCGTCTTGCTGAGATTCTTGCTTCCCCAGATTTGCGAAGAGAAAATCAGATTTTTGCTTTAAAAAAAAACTAGTTATTAAGATTCAAAAGAATCAGGAATAAAGCTCAAAAGCTATGCGTGCAGGCACTAAATTCTACCCAAACTATAAATGGTTAAAAAAGAGAGAAAATAGTTTAAATACATTTTGTCAGTGGACTGAAAAGGAGACAAGGATTTAACCTGTTAAGTTGAACCCAAAATGAAGTGTGCATCGTAAATTTCTATAAACACACGCGTTTTCTATATACACATGCGTTCTCACCATGTTTTCTCAAAAATGATTCAAAAATTTATTTGTCTCCTTTGTATTCAAATTAAAAAACGTAGATTTAAAATACATTTTATCTAATTTATTTTGACTTTTACTTTGTGAGTCAAGTTTGGATTAACGATAAAATGGCGATTAATTCCGCTTTTAACGATTGGGAGAAACAATGGAATCCGGCCCAAATTTCCAGTCAAATTTTTAATACACTAATAAGTCAGATATTTTATTGACAAATTTTTTTGGTGATAAATTTTTATAACTGCCCGAAGAAATAATTAAAACATATATCGCTATGTATTACCAAGTTCTTGTTGAATTTTGAGTATTATAGTTAATCAAAAAGTTCTTGGTTGTTTAAATAAT